CAATAGACGAAAGTAACACATCCCCTCATCCACACAGGCTCGACAAACAGGTTTAAGATGTTATTCAACGTTGAATAATTTAGTTTCTTTTCGGCTTCGCTTAATTTATTTTCTTTTTTCTTCCTTTATGTTCTAATTTTCATTCTCCGCATCAAACTATACATATTTATTCAAATAAATAATGAAACCACTAATATTACATATATATTAATACATAACAGGTTGCCGTTGAAGACCAATTTACACCCACTGCACAAGCAGTTCTGGCCTCAATGCTTGACACACCGTCTCCAATTGCATCCGATAAACAGAGCAGACAAGGGGTGAAAAGATCGATAAACTTTGATATTCATTTCAGTGAAACAAGTAAGGGTGATAATCCAAAAGAAGAATCAGCAGGTGAAGCTTCAACAAAGCGACAGAAAAAAAATGCATAAGGTTGCACCTTAAGAACGGCCTTACTTTTGTATAGGAGCCACGTTTTGGGAAATCTACAACAGCTGAAGTTCTCGTGCATGATCCGTTTTGTCAAAATCCTACCTTTTGTGTGTACACTTTTGGTCAGCATTACACTTAAGATTTTGCTATTAATGTTAGCTAAGTTTGAATGGCAATTCTGACTTAGTAAATATTAATGTTCAATTACTAGCATATTACATATTGTAATTAAGGATCCCTTCAACATTGTGCGAGAAACTCATGTAGCCTTTAATACTGTTCCCACTTAATATAATCAATGTGGCTTATTATGGATAATAGATAGTTTCTACCTTATAATCCATACTTACTTGCCAATTTTAATTGCCACATAAATGTGGAAATTTGCTCCACCATGCAGGCTATCAAATATGTTTACATTGTACATCCCCTTGCTTTTTTATGTTATACATCCTAAACTTACATCAAAAAAGGCACCATCTGTCGATTAATGGTCAAACAAACATATCCAAATTATTCCCTTCCCCTGCCATTAAACTTCAATATTCTTTACTTATAGACATTACAAAGGTGATGCTTATACACACAAAATAATGTCAATAACATTTTGAATATTTGCAAGTCTTCAGATTTTATGAGATAAGAGAAGTATACCTACAATAACATTAACACCATCATACATAACTTTAAGGAAAATTCTATTTTTTACCGCAAATACAATCACATTATTACATAAAACAAAAAAAAGAAAATAACAGAGAATCTTATATTACCCATGTCCACTTGAAAAAGATATCAAAATTTTTAAAAACAACGAAAAAAATTCCACATAAACGATTAAATTATATCAAATTACAAAACAATTGTACCAACGACAGAAAAGTCACAGTTCATACTACATAATATCAAATTACAAAACAATTCTACCCAACAACTAAAAACTCACATATCACACTACATGCACCACAAAACCAACATGCGTATCAGGATACGAGTAGAAAGTTAACTTTGAACCTTCGGCAATTCCACTTATATTTACAAACTCCCTAGCACGGCCATTTTGCATCAACACCTTCCCATGGCCTTCAACAATTTCTACTTCATACATCACATCATCAAATACCAACGTCCCACGAGTCAAATCATCGTACTGCCCCACCACATGTGCCCGCCAAAAATGAATAGGAATAGGCTACATTTAATTATTTTTTTTTTTTGGTTTAATATACTATAAATATAGAAAAATAGATACCACAAAATAATAACATATAATTTACAATAATAACTCAATTTACCAGAAGTGCACGGTCTACGTGCGTTTTCTTGATCTCAAGCGTAAAATGATTCTCCACAGTACGCTCAATTCCATCCTCCTCATAAACAGTCACCACAAATTCATTCAAACTATTGCGCTCAAAAGAAACATAATATTCACATTGAATATTCTCGGCCACAACGAATTCGAACCACCCTTCATGAAATGCTACCCCATAAGCATTACCTCTAATTGTTACCTCATACGTACGACCTTCTCTTGTAATTAACGTGCATTCAAGGGGTACATAGAGCATGTATTCACGCACAAGCCCCGACGCCAACCTCTGTAATGCAACAAAAAATATATTTATGTCTTCGATGTTTGTATATAAAACTTAAAATCACCTACACCAAAAAACAACAACACGTAAAATAATTCATTTTACAAAGCATTACCATAGTTCGGCTGGCCGGATTCGACACAACGACAAAAAATCTCCTGAAGGGACCATCCATAATCAACACCTATGCACTAAATAAACAGATATATCAACTCTTAAAAATTTTAAAACAACATAAAAAAAAACAACAAAAAAAAAAAAAAAAA